TTCTTGGAAAGATCTTACCGACGGTTTTGCGAGTTCTGTTTGGGCGGGGAGTTGTTTTGCAGCATCTTAATCACGCCATATTGTGATTCGCCTCACTTCGAGGCGCTGACTACATGGACTTTGGATTCGGGGGACTTGGTTCATCAAAGGATTCCCGATGAGAGTTCTCAAATGGACCCCCGATTTCAAAACTACCGAGGAACTCCACATGTTCCGGTGGGGTTACGCTCCCACTTCTTCCTCTCACATGTATCACAGAGATCTTTTATTTACAGTTGCTGCTGGCATTGGGACCCCTCTGAAGGTTGATACCCTACGGCGACTCGGAGTCGGTGCTCCCACGCCAGAGTCTGTGTGGAAATTGACCTTACGAAGCCCCTTCTGCATGCCTTCGAGATTGATGTGGGTACTGGTGTGCTCGCAGAAGGTCATCTACGAGCGGCTCCCTAGCTTCTGCTCACTCTGCCGCCATCTTGGGCACAAAGCGGAGGCTTGTTTACGCAGACCTTCTTCGCAGCCGGTACCAGTTACCATCTCAGCTGCGCAGAATCCTCCGCTGCGCCTTCTGGTCGCCATGACTCGGTGCATGGCCCTTCTGAGATCTCTGCAGCCCCGCCTCTGGTGATATCATGGAATCCCGGCCCCCCACTGCTCGACGCCGTCGTCGGCGCCGCAATCGAAATAGGGGTACGCCTTCTACTGGTATTACTAATGCTTCTGGCTCCTTGCAGGCCCCTCCTCAGCTCCTCCGACGGGACCCCAGCCTTCTACCCGGAGACCTTCCGATGACATCCCGGAGTTGAATGGCTCCAGACGTCTTCGCTCTGTGTGCGGGGTGACCTTTGGGGAGATACAGGTGGCCCCAAATCCATCACAGACGCCCGAGAAGTCCCTGCAGATATGCAGCTCACACCGCGCATCTCAGCGGCCCTGCGGAGGCTCATCGCCCCCACGCCCCTCCTCGGGTGACCTTGCCCACTCACGGGGGGATGCCTCCGCGATGCTGCTTACTTCTGGTGTTCGAGTTACCTTTGGGGACTTTCTGGCGCCTTCGGAAACCTCGCCGGCCCGCCCTCTGGCCGGACAGACTACAGCTGAGCCTCCGATTGACAGTCCTGCCTCCCTCTGGATGACTGTCGACTGAGTCCCACTCCAGCGACTCCTGCCACCGCCTCGGCCCTTGGTCTCCTTCCGCAGCCCCTATTGGCCACTCAGGTACCACCCTCGTCGCCTTTACCACTGCTTGCTGATGATATGCAGGTGCCGCCGGAGCCTGTGTCGCCTCCTCCTGCTCAATCCTTGGCAATTTGGGGACTCCCCTCTGGTCATGGCCTGGATAAGGGGAAGGCAGTGCTGCTCTCTGAACCTCCTGCATCCCCTATCCGCGATCGACGTGATCTTTCAGTGGACACATGCCTATCGGCTACTGGTTTCCCCTTCCTCGGACACCCAGCGGGACGAGGACTCTGCACTACAGGCCACCTTCGCCGAGGACTCGGATGGTGACTCGCCCCTTATTAAGGATGGCCAACCGCCCCTCCTCGATTCACTATCTCTTTCCCCGAGAGGTACCACTGATTTTCACTCTGGTGATCTACCTGCTGATGCAATTACAGGGACAGAGCTCCTCCCTGAATCTGGTCCGAACCCACCCCTCCTGCGGACTTCATCGGAACCGCTCCCTGTTGTCGCTCTGTCGACGGAGTCGCATCCGAGCAGGGGGGTGTGCGTTTTAAACCAGGCCGCTGAACCTCCGTCTCTCAGCGGATCTTTGGAGACAGTTCAGATGACCGGCCACAGGCTCTGCCGCCGGCCTTCTCTAGACCGATCACCCGCAGCATCTCCCGTCAGCAAGTAAGTTCCTCTCGTCGCCCTTCTGCCAGTTCCCGATGACAGACACCTCCCTCTTGGTTTGGAATGTGCGCGGAATTGGCAACCCCCGAGCTCAACGAGAGGTACATTGGCTCTGCAAGCAGCACCGTATCCGCATTCTTATTCTTCTGGAGCCTATGGTTTTTGCGGATGTTGCTTTCTTTTGCCGGCGTTTTGGCTTCTCCCAGATGCTTACTAACGCGGTCAATTCTATCTGGATTCTTGCTGATGACTCCTATAAACTGGAGCCTATTTCGGAGATCGATCAGTGTCTTCATGTGCAGGTTTCGTCTCCGCAGCACCGCCGCCCTTTTTCCTATCTGGGATCTATGCGCGATGTTCTGTCACCCAGCGCCGTGCCCTCTGGTCTTTCCTACAGGACACAGCGGCCTCGTCATTGGGGTCTCCTTGGCTTATCGGTGGCGACTTTAATGCCATCGCCGACATATCTGAACGGAAGGGCCCAGGTCGCCCTAAGTTGCGCTCTATTCAGGATTTCTCAGCGGCTATCCTTGATGCGAATCTTATCGATGCCGGTTTTGAAGGCTCCCCCCATACATGGACAAATCGACGAGTTTGGGAGCGCCTGGACCGCATTCTCTACAACACTGCCTGGGAGGATTTCGCTGAGACGACTCGTGTCAGACACCTCCCGCGGATGCACTCGGACCACGCCCCGCTCTTGGTCCGATTCTCGCATGAAAGACACCGCCTTGCCTCTGCATTCCGGTTTCAGAACATGTGGACCAGACACCACACTTTTCAGGACCACGTCCGCCAGAGTTGGGTTGTCCCGACGGGCACCACCGGTCTCCTCAACCTGCGACTGAAACTTGGACGACTCAAACAGGCTCTGAAGTGGTGGAACAAACAGGTATTTGGGAATGTTTTTCAGGTATTGGCAGCAGCAGAAAAAGACGCAGAGGAGTGTGAAGCGGAGTTCGATCGGGATCCCTCTGACGCCAACCTCCTCCGCCGTCAGCGTAGCGCTGCGGCTTTGACGCACGCGATTGCACTGGAAGAGGCTTACTGGAAACAGAAAGCAGCCTGTCGGTGGGCGGTCGAGGGAGAACGGAACTCCCGTATGTTCCATTCCATGGTGAAGGAACGACGCCGGCGGGCGACAATCTTCTCGATGGCTGACGGTGCTCGTACCCTCACTGATCACTCAGATATTAAGCAGTCAGCCATTTCCTATTTCTCTGGGATGTTGGGACAGCCTGATGATGCCGACACGTCGGAAATGGATGCCTTGGCACCCACCCACCGCCCCAGGTTCCGCCGGCCGAGTGCACTCGGTTGCTTGAACCGCCTACACTTGCGGAGACTCGTGCTGTGGTCTTCTCGATTGATCAAGATAGTGCGGCTGGTCCCGATGGCTTCTCTGCCGCCTTCTACCAGAAATGTTGGGAGATCATCCGGGAGGATGTGTTTGATGCTGTACTGGATTTCTTTTCGGGAGCCCCCCTCCTGAAGTTTTATACAGCGACGACTCTTGTACTTATCCCAAGAAGGAGGGGCCACTTGCATGGGCTGATTATCGACCTATCAGCCTCTGTAATGTCAGCAGTAAGATCTTCACAAAGCTACTCACCACGCGCCTTAGCCCTCTACTGCCGCAGCTTCTATCGCCGCATCAGAGCGGCTTTGTCAAAGGCCGCGCAATTGCGGACAATATCCTGTTAGCGTCGGAGATGGTCCATGATCTTAATCTGAGAGGAGGCTCGCACAATTTATTGCTGAAATTGGACCTTAACAAGGCGTACGATCGGGTGTCATGGCGGTTCTTACGGCACGCCCTTTCCAGGTTCGGTTTCCCGGCTCACTTCATCACTTTGATTATGAACTGTGTTGAGCATGCGTGGTACTCGATCCTTGTGAATGGGGACCTGGGTGGCTTCTTCCCCTCCTCGGGAGGCCTTAGGCAGGGAGACCCCTTGTCCCCGACCCTTTTTGTCTTGGCTGCAGATCTCTTATCACGCGGCTTGGAGCGCCTCTACAGCCGTTTTCCGGATCTGTACTATCGGTGTCGTGGTCGGTTCCGGCTGACGCACCTTGCTTATGCGGATGATGTCCTCATATTCGCTAATACCTGTGGCAATCGCATCAGCCTTCTGACCGACTTTCTGACGACTTACGCACGGATTACTGGCCAGAAGGTGAACTGTCAGAAAAGCCAGCTTGTTTTCAGCCGCCAGTGCCCGGAGACTGTTCAACGACAGCTCCAATCGGTGACTGGTTTTGGCGCAGCTGAACTCCCTCTTACATATCTTGGCGCGCCCCTCTATGTGGGCAATCGGCGCAATATTCTTTATGAGGAACTCCTTGGAAAACTCCGTCGTTATCTGCAGCGCTGGGATCGCTCGGTTCTATCTCACGGGGGTCGATTACAGTTAATCAGGAGCACTTTGTTCTCGCTCCCCCTATATCTGCTGCAGGTACTTTGCCCCCCCCAGGCGGTACTTCACTCTGTGGAGCAACTTTTTGCTCGTTTTTTCTGGGGTTCTTATCACGGGCACCGCCGCCGCCATTGGATCTCCTGGGCGGATATTGCACGGCCACAGGAGGAGGGTGGGCTTGGCATTCGTCGCCTGGCCGATACGGTTCGGGCCTTCTCGTTTAAACTATGGTGGCGACTCAGAGATGGCTCCTCCCTTTGGGCTCGCGCGCTTCAACAGAAATATTTTCGGAATTCCTTCCCAGGACTTGCACCCTGCAGGAGCTACGACAGCCCGGTTTGGAAGCGTCTCTGCCAGGTTCGAGATGAGGCACAGACTCAGATCACTTGGAATTTGGGGCGCGGGGACTGCTTCTTCTGGTATGATATTTGGTGTGGAGATCGTCCGCTATGCGCTGACCGCCAGGACCGCCCTCCGCCGATACGGGTGAAAGAGATGTGGGTTAACGGGACGTGGGACATGCCGCGCCTCCGAGCTTACCTCCCTGAAACCCTTGTTCAGCAGGTCTCGGCGATTCCTCCTGATCTCCAGACTGCGGATCAGCCGATCTGGAAGGCCTCGACCACAGGTACTTTCTCTACAACCTCAGCATGGGAGATGAGCCGAACAGCTGGAGCACGGAGCTGGCTCTCTTGCAGCTTGTGGTCGCCGCTTCTTACTCCTACAATGTCGGTATTCCTATGGCGTTTATTTCGCCGTCGGATACCCGTCGATGAGGCCTTACGGAAGATGGGCCTCCCTATTGTCTCTTGCTGCCAGTGCTGTCGGGAGTCTGAGACGATCGAGCACTTATTCTTCTCGTCGGCGGTTGCCCAGCGCGTGTGGCGCCATCTTGCTGATCTATTTCATATCCAAATCCCGCGGACACATGCGCCCCACCTGATGGTTTCCGCTTGGCGTCTGTCCTCCCCACATGCGCGGAGTATCCGTACTTATATACCGCTCCTGGCCTTCTGGTTTCTTTGGACGGCACGGAATGACGCCAAACACCGAGGTATTCAGATTTCATCTGACCGGATTATTTGGCGTATTCACTGTCATTTGCAGGTCTTAGGCCGTGCTGGCCTCCTTCAGCGTCAGCACTGGCCTGGGGAGGTGCACCTAGCCTCTAGTCTCGGTCTTCGCCTCCCACCTCCGGTTCTTCGGCCGCCGGTCATGGTACGCTGGGAAGCCCCGTCTCCAGGCTGGTTCAAACTCAACACTGATGGGGCATCGCTCGGGAATCCAGGCGCCGCTGGAGCCGCGGGCGTCATTCGGGATGCCACCGGCGCCCCAATTGTGGCATTCCAAGTTCCCCTTTTGAATACGACGAACACTTTGGCCGAACTGCAGGCGATTCGATCTGGAGTGGACCTGGCGGTTGCCCGCGGCCTCCTCCCTCTCTGGATCGAGACGGACTCGGCCAGCAGTATCTCTCTCATCTCCTCCTCGACGGGACACTGGACTCTCCAGCCTTGTCTCCACCACCTGCGCCTACAGCTTCGCAGCATCGAGTGGAGGATCTCTCATATTTTCCGCGAGGGCAATAAAGCGGCGGACAACTTGGCGAACACCTCTGTTGCCCTTCCTCATATGCGGATCCTTGAGCCGGCGGACATCCCAGCGAGGACCCGTGGCCTCATCCATGCTGACGCGGCGGGCCTCCCGTGCTTTCGCTTCCGTTAGCTTTTAGTTGCTTACAATCTTTATTTACATTTACAGCACTTGTACCGAACTTTGCAGAACTACGTATGGCTTGATCCCGTTGGGGTACGTAGGCAGCTCTTTGAGCCCAGCCAAAAAAAAAAAAAAAAAAAAAAAAAAAAAAAAACCCTAAACCCTAAACCCTAAACCCTAAACCCTAAACCCTAAACCCTAAACCCTAAACCCTAAACCCTAAACCCTAAACCCTAAACCCTAAACCCTAAAACCCTAAACCCTAAAACCCTAAACCCTAAAACCCTAAACCCTAAACCCTAAACCCTAAACCCTAAACCCTAAACCCTAAACCCTAAACCCTAACCCTAAACCCCAAACCCCAAACCCTAAACCCCAAACCCCAAACCCTAAACCCCAAACCCTAAACCCTAAACCCCAAACCCCAAACCCTAAACCCCAAACCCTAAACCCTAAACCCCAAACCCCAAACCCCAAACCCCAAACCCCAAACCCTAAACCCTAAACCCTAAACCCTAAACCCTAAACCCTAAACCCTAAACCCTAAACCCTAAACCCTAAACCCTAAACCCTAAACCCTAAACCCTAAACCCTAAACCCTAAACCCTAAACCCTAAACCAAAAACCGCCTCTCCACCACCATCGTCTTCCTCACCCCTGAAAACCCCCGTCATCCTTACTCGCACCACCGTTCTCCCAGCACCGGCGCCGGCGTTCGAGCCCGATATAGAGCCGCTGTATCGCCGTCGACCTGGAACCTACTGTTCCGGTCGATCTCCAGCCATACCCTCGCCGTCGTTGTCTTCATCATCCTCCAACGACCTAGACTGCTCCTTGCCGTGGCCGGATTCGTTCACCGTAAAGTGACGTCATCGTCGGTTTTACTTACGCACTGAGATCGTCTACCACAGACGTCACTCCGATCATTTTCCGGCCGAATCTCCGCCACCATCGTGTTCCCAACCCCAAAAAACCCCCAACCTTGATACTCATACTACCCCTCCGCCGTCCCCGTCGCCGGAAAGTGGCCCCGATCCGGGAACACTCTAAAACCGCCGATCGGAATTTGACCTGTTCCGGCCGGTCTCCACTGAAACCTTCACCACCACTGTATTCCTCACACCAGAAAACCCCCACATCCAACTTCCCGTCGTCGGAGTCGTTCGCCTGAAAGTGACGTCATCCTCGGTGGAAAAGTCAACATTGGCGTTGCGTGTATTTCCGACGTCCGATCTCCGGTCTCTCATCAGATTTGTAATCTCCACCCTCGAAAACCCCTAGACGGAATTGGATATCGCCGAACATGTGTGTAAACTCGTCGGAGCTCCGGTAACCGCCTGTAACCGCCTGGTAACCGTCGCCGGAGACCGATTCCGGAAAATCCTGATGTCCGATCGTGTGTCTGATTCCACCATGGTGTCGGCTACCCCTGAGAACCCCCGTACCAGCCTGTTTGCCGCCGGAGACCGCCTTCTGACCGGAGCAGAGAGATCGCCGGAATATGGTGCTGGCCGCCATGATGTTTCCCGTCAATTGGGACGTCCGATGACCGCGATCTCTTCTCCAATGAATTCACAACACCAAAAAACCCCTATCATGAGTCCACTCCCGTCGCATGCATTCACTCCTCCGGTCGCCGGAAATGGTGGCCCTTCGTCACGTTGGACCGCCGGAGACGTACGGTTAGAGGGCATTAACGGTTTTTCTGTTAGTGCAGGTGTTATTGTGGACCCCAGAAACCCCCCAGGTGTGGTCCCTAGGTCCCGAGGTATTCCCCGTTTTCCGGCCGACCACCGTGGTGACTCAACGCCGACGCCGCCTCCGTTCTCGGTGCTCCGGTCAGTATCCCGGCAATCTGAGGGTGCTGGTGAATTCGCAGGGCCTGAAAACCCTAGGCTAGAGCTCTCCGACTCGCCATATGGCTGCTCGAGTGCCTCCGATGATCGCTCCGGTCCAATGGAACCCTCTCCACCGCCGGCCGCTCCTCCGGCGCCGTCCGCCGTTCCCCCTCCGGCAGCAACTGCTGCTGTGGCCCCGTTGGGACTTCAGACCGGGGCCCCACCCCCTCATGCCGGCGCTTGGGGTGGGAGGTCGTTTGCCGAAGTTGTCTCGGGCGTTCCGTCGGGATTACGATCGAATGCCAATGGTCCTTATTCCTTCATGGAAGGGCCTCGACCAGCAACTGTTGGGGAGTGGTCTAGCTCCGATGATGGGGTTGCATGTCTCCGGTTTACTACGGCGGAGACATCGAGGTACGTGATGGCTAACCCCTCTTGGAAGCATATTTTAGTCGGGAGGTTCCCGATAGGTTACTCGTCTTGGCATGATTTACTTGCTGCATTTACTAGCTTTAGATTGGTGGGGCAGTATGAGCTATATCGTTTATGCCATAGACATATTATCATTAGACTGTCTGATAGTCGAGATTACACTATGTTGTTGATCCGTGGCCTTTGGAGGGTGCGGGGGGCACCGATGCGCGTCCTAAAGTGGACGCCTGATTTTAGGGCCACAGAGGATCCCTCGATTGTCCCGGTGTGGGTGTCGCTCCCACAGTTGCCATTGCATATGTATCACCGGGATATGTTGTTTGCGATTGCCTCGAGGCTAGGGACGCCTTTGACAGTTGATGCCCCAACAGCTCGGAGGGACAGATGTTCTCATGCACGAGTCTGCATTGAGATTGATGTGTCACAGCCGTTGGTTGACAGATTTTTGATAGATTTGGGGGGTGCCAGGATAGAGCAGAGGGTGATGTACGAGAGGCTCCCTCGTTACTGTGTTTCTTGTCATACTTTGGGGCATACAGTTGTTGATTGCCGTCGGTTGGGACCTTCTCGGGTAGCGATGGAGGCTAGGAGAGGTCCCCAACCGGCGGAGATGGTGCCTCCTATTGAGGAGCGGGTTGTGCCTCCTATTGAGGAGCGGGTTGTGCCTCCTATTGAGGAGCAGATTGTGCCTCCTATCGAGGGGAGGGATGTTTCTGCGGCTGCGGCTGCGCCGACAGGCCGTAGGAGACGGAGGCGTAGGCAGCGGAGACGTCGACAGGGCCAGACAGGGGTTGAGAGAGTTCTTACGTCTGGCATTCGGGTCACTGTTCCGGAGGCTAGCGCATCAGTTGTTGAGAGGGTCCTTTCGTCGGGCATTCGAGTTACTGCTCCGAGTGTTCGATTAGATTCAGAGGGCTCTATTGAGAGGGTTACTGTTCCGGAGGACAGATTGGATTCGGATACCGTTAGGAGGACCTTACTGCCTGGCGGTCGGACTACTGCTCTGGGTGCTTGCATTGTTGATCCCCCTGCTACCCCTATCGTTCTCCAGGATCAGTTGATTGATGTGACTCCGCCTGTGTCAGTGGAGGTGGATCGGGATTCGGGCTCCATGATGATAGAGAGCCCTGTGGTTCAGGAGATACTGCCTTCCCGTCGGGACAGAGGGAAGGTAGTGATAGCTGAGGATATCCCAGAGACATCGTGCAGATTTGGCCCTAGTCGGGATGAGAGTTCCTCGTCGTTTGACATTGTGTCGGAGGATTCACCACTTCTCAAGGATGGTACCCCGCCATCCTTGTGTGGTTCCCCCTGCAGAGATTGGAGTACTGTATTGAGGGAGAGTTCTGGATCCTTATTGGAGAGGGATACCCTGTGTGCTCCCGATGGAGGTACTGATTTGTTACAGGGGGAGTTGTCCCCTCGCCCTGAGGATGTTCTAGAGCCTCCCGGCCGACTGGATAGCAGAGAGGTGCATTCTCCGCATTCTCCATCTTTGGATTTGGCTGGCTCGCCGCTTATTGAGGACAGTTCCCCACCTTCCTTGTTCGATGTGTTAGCTCTTTCTCCTCGTGGGGATGGGAGCTTTGTTTCAGGAGTCCTGTCTCGGGAGAGTTCTGGGCCTTCATCGGAGATAGATGATCTTCGACAGTCTTGTCGGGTTACATCGGAGCCACCCCCTGTCTTGACTCCTTTGATGGTGGAGCCTGAGGGGATGATTGGTTCCCCAGAGAGGGAGGAGTCTGAGGTTCCTTCGGGAGTCAGTGTACAGAGTAGACCGCCACTCCCTGAGGTGAGCCGCCGCATCACTCGTAGTATTGCCCGCCTTCAGGCGCGTTCGTCCGTCGCCACGTTCCTATGACTGATTTCTCATTTTTAGTTTGGAATGTTCGGGGTGCTGGGAACCCCCGAGCCCAGCGGGAGATTCACTACTTGTGTCGCGCGCATCGGGTGCGCATACTGCTCCTACTGGAGCCTATGGTCGAGGCAGCACCAGAGTACTTCTGTCGTCGCCTCGGATTTGCTCATATGATAGGGAATGAGGCGAACACGATTTGGTTGTTTGTCGATAGTTCATTCCAGTGTCAGATGGTTGCGAGTGATGATCAGTGGATTCATGTGCAGTTATCGTCACCACAGATTCGTCGACCCCTTCTGCTGACAGGGGTTTATGGGAGATGTAGTGTTGTCAGGCGTCGGGAGATATGGGGATTCTTGGAGGAGACAGCAGTCTCAGCTGTTGGGGTTCCTTGGATAGTCGGTGGCGACTTTAATGCCATCGCAGATATATCGGAGAGGGAGGGCCCAGGACGGCCGCGGCTGCGATCGATTCAGGATTTTTCGGGCGCTCTCCTTGATGCTGGATTGATAGATGCCGGTTTTGAGGGTCCTCAGTTTACCTGGACGAACCGGCGGGTGTGGAAGCGCCTGGATCGGATACTTTATAGCCGTTCGTGGGAGGAGTTTGCGGAGACCACACGGGTTCGGCACCTTCCACGGATGTGTTCGGATCACGCGCCCCTTCTGGTTCAGGTCTCACATGAGCGACATCGAGTTTCGTCAGCATTTCGATTCCAGAGCATGTGGATTCGCCATCACTCATTTCTGGACAGAGTTCGGGAGAGTTGGGAGGTTCCTACTGGGGTGTCGGGGCTTCTCAACCTACGCTTGAAGCTAGGGAGGCTCAAGCGGTTATTGAGGTGGTGGAATCGTCATGTGTTTGGCGATGTGTTTCATTTGTTGGCGGAGGCCGAGAGGGAGGCTGCAGAGTGTGAGGCTGAGTATGACAGAGATCCCTCGGAGGCTACTTTGATGCGCCGACAGCGTAGTGCGGCAGCTTTGACACATGCCATTGCGCTGGAGGAGGCTTTTTGGCGGCAGAAGGCCGCGTGTAGATGGGCCGTCGATGGGGAGAGGAACTCCCGGATGTTTCACTCGATGGTCCGGGAGCGCCGTCGACGGGCTTCTATATTTTACATGCGAGATGGTGACAGGGAGCTTACGGAGCACTCGGACATCAAGGCATCGGCTGTATCTTACTTTGCCTCGATGTTCGGGGAGATGGATGACGCAGATACCTCGGGTATGGATGATTTGGCGGATATGCCGCCGCAGGTTCCCCCGGAGGAGAACCGGCGGCTTTTAGCGCCACCGACGTTGGCAGAGGTTCGGGAGACAGTATTCTCGATAGATCCGGATAGTGTGGCAGGTCCGGATGGATACTCGGCAGCTTTTTACAGAGCTTGTTGGGAGATTGTTGGTCCGGATGTGTTAGCAGCTGTATTGGATTTCTTTTCAGGGACCCCGCTCCCGAAGTTTTATACGGCCACCACCATTGTCCTCATCCCGAAGAGGGATGCCCCAGAGTCTTGGGCTGATTATCGGCCGATTAGTCTGTGCAACGTGAGCAACAAGATCATCACGAAGTTGCTCACGGTGCGCCTTGGGACTTTACTACCGCGCCTCCTTTCACCGCATCAGAGCGGATTTGTGAAGGGGCGTGCGATTGCGGATAACATTCTGATGGCATCTGAGATGGTTCATGACTTGAACCTTAGAGGCACGTCGCACAACGTGCTTCTGAAACTGGACCTTAAT